AAACACGGACTGTTTCTTGCTCCCCCTTCTTTCTGCGTGGGCACGTAAGGCCCGCACGGGTTGTAAGTGAGATTCTTAGCTGAGGAGAAATAAGGCCCGATAAGACCCAGAAGTACAGGGCATGGGCGTCAGTCCGACCCAACCCACCTGTCCGCGCATGTAAGTCCACTCGAGGCAGCCCTCATTATCATTTTCTTGGGCTTTCGAGTGGGAACGAATTTTTTTTGTTTTACTTATGATAAGGATGATCTGGCTGGATTCAAAAATCTTAGTGATATCAGATAATAGATTTTTGAGTATAACGACTGTCATCTACGTTTCTAAGATCGCACCGGTGCGAACTTTGCTGTTGACTAATTTTATTGGTGTTATCTATCGCGTATGATAAATTTATTTTTTTTTATAAAAACTTTATTTTTTTCACTTTTTTTTTAAATCGCTTCCGTCTATGTACCGTACGGTTCAATTGACTGTATCCAGTATACGGTTCGCTAGTCCATCGATTTTCTAGTTCAAAATAGGCATAGTCATCGATCGATTCTGAGACACGAAGTCGCACGCGGTCGGTATGAGAAAAAAAAAACGGAAAAGCACAAAAAAGCTTAATGACCTTACTTAAAAACGTTTTTAGTGTGCCGTAACAGTGGTCACGTGATAAAAGCATCGAATAAATCGAAACTATCGGTAGACAAAAGAAACCGCGTCACAGTTTAAAAATATCGAATTTTTCAAAAATTAAATGAACATCTTCATAATTTCAATAACGACAAAGAAAATTTTCATACGCAAATACGAGCAATCGGTTAACTTGAAATGGCCCTTTCTAACTGAGAATAAAACTGAATGCTGTCACACGGCGGTAGGATGACGTAGAAAAAAAAATACGGATCAAGACTTATATAAGCGCAGGCATAAAACGCGCGCAGGGAGTTCACTAAGAAGCCAAAATTCCCAAGAAGAAAATTCCAGAACAATCGAACCCATAAATTTTCCGGTTTACTTCTGCCGCACGTTTCTTGCATCCACTCACGAATAATATATACATATATACACGTAAGAAGGGAGACGAAGAAAAAAAAAAGATAGCTACCATATCCTTTATAAAATTCTGAAAAATGTCCCCGATCATTTGTGCTGCATTGTAATACTCGTGTTTACCTTGTATATACTAGACTCAGGTCCAAAGATGGGCGTGCTGGTTTCCATCGAAGCGTTTAGGATCCTTTGAGTAATGAGGTTCCTACCATGGGAGTGCCTATGGTATACCCCATAACCCCATGATCTCATAGTAGGTATTTTTTAGAAATAAAAAAAAAAGTAAAAAAATATTTTTCACATTATGAAATACAAGTTTAGACTATTAAAAAAAAGGACTCACGTACGAGAAATAGATCTTGAGCAAAAATAATTAATTAATTAATTCTGCTGCGTGAACTTATTAATTGGGCAGATCGTCTTGATATAAATTAAATTACTGTGCATTAATCTTTAATGAATATGCTAACGAGAACAGGGTCCACATAGTGACTGGATGATTCGCTGTGATTGATAACATTGTATTTATCCTGTATCGCGTATTGAAAAAAAAGGCAATGTCTATGATGGAGATAAAAAAAAACATTTTCGCTTTTCGTCATCTGCTTAAAAAATCTCTGTATCCAGCATCCACTTATTTTTTCTGGCAAATTCGTAAGGATCTCTCTTCCGTGTATGCGGTGCTTGAGATCCTCCCTGCCAGATATCGATCCTGCGGACTCACGCCACACTCGGTCCAGCTGCGGCTCACTGATTGACTCCAGCGATATCTCTGAGTGGAGAGAAGAAAAAACGAAAATGGTTCCGTGAATTCATCGAAGCAATTTTGTTTGGTTCCATTTCTGAGCGCCGAGCAAGCTACATTTTCGTCGAGCCACATGGATCAATTTTCAGTCAAGATCTATTTGCATGTATAAATAGCCAAAGGAAGGAAGGGATGACCGATCGGTTGAATTGGGCCAAAAAAAATACACCATTTACTTTTTGAAAATGAAACGCAAAAAATAGCGTGCCAGGCACGAAAAAAAAATATAATGATCGAGGGAAGGGTAAAAAAAATTTTGATAAAATTTGTAAGTGTCAAAAAAAAATTTACGCGAACCTGTTGCAACGTATAAGGGTTTAGCATTGAACCCCTCGATATAACCAACCCCCGAGACATATGGCAAATAATCGACACGGATGAAAAGAGATTCTTCGGTGAGATTTTGGATAAAATAAATTTTCATTACACTTGAAGTATTTTGACACCCGATTCGCCCCACGCGGGGCATCTGCCATAATAAAGTGCGGGATCCGATGCCATTGACTTTATGGTCCTCTAGGTTTGCACCCTGGCGCGACGCGGCGCATCGTACTCTAATGGCGCGTAAAACTGTATTTAGTGACATTGTGGCAATTTTTTTTGTTGTTGTCGCTGTTGTCGCTCTTCCCCCCATTTTTTCCCCTTTTATTTTGGGGCTACGAAAGTCGAATGCCGGCCTACCTGAGTTTCGTCTTGTCGGCTACGGGCGGAAACCCAGCCTAACCCAACGCAACCGTTCCCTGCTTAACAATATATTTTCCAGGGGAAGACGCGCCACCCTGCTCGGACCATATTGTACAGGGGGTTTCTATGGGAGGACAGCAGGGGATGCATCCCCGTCATAGACGCTTTAACGAATTTACCACGCCGCCTGGAACCAGGACCGATTTTAATTTACCTTGACTCAACCGCGTGTCGACTCCATGGAGATTTGACAGTCCGAGGAATTGTCAGACTTGTTGACACACTTAATACTGACACACGTGTTCGACATTTCGTACGAGTATTGTCAACCTCGCAGTCATTTGTTACCGACCTCAAACAGTTAAGCGAATTAGGCTTATACACAGTGAATACCGAACATACATTAAATCCAAGAATTAAAATCGACTTGCATTGTTCGAATGAAAGCCCAATTTGTGCTTGAATAGGTAAAACGAGCAAGCACAGAAAAATTGACTGGTCAAAAATTCAATGCAATTTGTATCGTCCATTCCTCCCATGGTGCCCCAAATAATTACCTCAAATTCACAAAATCGAATCTGTCCACCCGGAAGCTATTATTTACGGTATCGACAGTAGGACCGGGATGGGCCTTTTCTTTCACGACCATTACCATATGAGATGCAAGCAAGTAGAATAGCGTCGCGCACTTGCATAAGACACTTCGTGAATGAGAGCCAGAGAAAATGTCGTCTAGCTGGTACTTATGTAACACGACTGGAATAAATCCATATCGCCTAGTATTGCGCAACCGCGTTGTATATTATACACTGTATATTATTAATATCCATACATTCGAACGATACAGATAACTGAGGTGCACGAATTTCAAAAAAAATATATACCATAAAAAAAAAGTTTTATACACTCCACTTGGTAAAGATAGTCCAGAGGATCGTTCCGTGAAAGATAAATAAAGTCGAGTCAAGATGGCGCAGAACGCAAGACGTGGAATCCTCGATAGCCATGGGGGTGCGTGCCAAATGAAGGGATGATTCGAGACGCCGTCTAAAACTCGCTGGTTGGGTGGGCAGACTTATTGTCAAGAGTTGCTTAGCCAGCGGCGTCTACTTCTTTGGTGAAGACTCCGCAGCGTGGAGAATTTAATCCATATTTTTTGTCGGTCCTTCGGCCTTCCGGCCCCACGGGAACGAAGGAACTTTCCTACCGGTTTAAGCTGCACCTCGTATACACCCATCCGATCAATTAAATCGCTCGCGAGCAATTAACCATTCGGTCAATCCTGAAACGTTTAAAACTTGTCAAAATATATTCAACCAGAGTCTACGTCCGACAACGCCATTAAGTAACGTTGCAGGATACAAACCGTACAATACTCGTAAAACTTACCTAGTAGCCGTTACCGCAAGAAATCAAGGATCCATCGACGGCTCGATCGTGTTTCTCGATCGTGTGGAAAACCGCAAGACATCCGCCAGCTGGCACGGTCCAGCCTAGATAATTGCTTCCTTAAAGTACAGGAACGAGCAGTGATCTATATGAAGAGAAGAAAAAATTTAGTAAAATTATTCAATTTAAATTTATCAAAATTCGGAAAATTCATAGTCTCTCATTTAGCTTCCTTCGAATATCCCGAATGTCGTATTTTCGATTATTTGAGTGACGAAAAAAATTTTTTTTCTGCATACAAAATTTTATCTACACGAAATTTAGTATGACTAGTCATACGTCGTACATGACCTGATCGGTGATCGGCAGTGGGATTGGTACCAAGAATTGTGGTAAATCTCAAGGGACATCAAGACGGGACGAAGCCAAGGAAGCGGTGACCATTTTTTACACTGGGACGTGGGATGAACTGGGAGAGATGTCCCCACAAAGTAGAATTAATAGCGGTTTGATCCGAGCGAGCGCCTAATGGTGAATCAGACGGTTTTGTCACAACAGTGCGGCCGGATGATGGATCGCCCTGTGAGGCCTCCTGACACATTGAGCCAGTATGCGTACCTTTTCTCACTACGTGTTAGCTAGCGTGTACATATATATATATATATATATATATACTATACAGACAGTCGTGTCCCTGGTCACGGTGTACCTACACGATGTACCCCATGGGGCATAGGGGACTTAGGTCTCGATGGGTCCTCTCACATAGGACCCAATGGGCCTCGTTAGAACCCCGCAGATCACGGTACCGATCATCCTTCGAACTCCCGTGTAAGCTTCGGCTTACAATCACATGCCGGAAGATGATCTGCTTTGGGAATTCTTCGCTGGACTTGATTTTTATTTTGTTCCCCAATAACAGTATGGCGAACATATAAAAAAAAAATGTGACCTTCCTCTGTTCTCTATACGTTTGCTTTAGTGTACTGTCGTGTAGATATTTAGGTCTATGAACTAGCGGAAGACGCTGGACGTTAGTGGAAAATATGAAGATGAGCCTTTATTGGCTCTGGTGTTTTTCGTTTTTGCTAAAGGTATACACCATAAACGTGCACTTGCCTCGGGTTTCCAAAGTTTTGCTATACCTTCTCGAATTAATAGTGGCTCCATCTCCTTGCGTCGGGACGGGAAAGTAGTTCGTCCCGGTGCGGAACTTTCGGACGCTTGGCTGACACTAAGCAAGCGGGAAACAGGAGCATGAAGCTCAGAAGTTGGTAGATTAATGAGCACCGCAAAATCCAGGCCATTAATCTGCATGACTTTCGCGGCGAATAAAAAATTACGTTTGACTCGCAATAAATCTACAGCGGGAAGTAGCGCCGGCCGGGGCGCATGCAATCACAAGGTAGGCTACGTCGAAACTAATTTATGACAGTAACCTCTTATTTGTAGTGTTAAAGAGTGAAGGAATAAAAGGAAGACTACAAATTGTGGTGGAACAAACAAAAGGACAAGGAGCCTTTCCAATTATCTTGTTAGAGCTATACAATTTTGTGTGTGTGTTTATGTATATATATACGAAATTGTTTACCCATTAAGAGATTAACAAGGTACGATCTGAGTTTTTGACAGATTTTGACAGACAGATTTTACGTAATTCACGAGAAAGATTTCATATACAAGTATAAGAAGTATCCTCTAGAACGTAGTACACTCCATTACGGGGAGATGGCGCCACAGACGCTTCTAGAATGTTCTCCGTCAATTCAATTACGCAAAGAGCATCTCTCCGGATTCATATTTGCACGTAACGTCTTTACAAATATCAATTGTACCCAAGAAATCTTTTATTGTCACCCCGTAAAAGTTGTCAATACTCATCCTGAAAGATTAACGCATAAAATTGTCTTGAAAAATATTGATGTCAGTGTCTCTCCAAAGTATCTCGATTACATGTCAACTATTATTTAATGGAAGCAGCTCATTATGTATTATATGTAAAAATTCTTAAACGCAATGCAAAGTTGTATCTCCCTGAAACAGTCCTGATAGACTAATTGAAAAAGTTTCTGCCACAAAGCGCTATCGGAACGTTCTGAAATTTTGAACAGTGCCAAAGTAACTAAAAGAATGACTATTCGACTGGGACTTGTGAAGCATACGGCCGAGCTGCCACATTCTACTCGTTCGACCTCTTCCATGTCGGGGCCCCTCGGGGCGGGCCCGAGCATTGCTGCGTTAATTCAATTCCTTATCTTTTTTTTGTGAGATATGAGAAACATGAGCAGGTTGCGCGAGGCAGGCCCCGAGCGTTTCTTTCCTTCGTTTATTTTTCTTTCCACTTTTTCTCTCGTTACATCAGGACGAAAGTCGCGAAGGAAAATGTCACGTCTCCGGGCGTACAAGAAAAATATAATTATAAGGAAAGAAAAATTGATTCGAGCGAATTCAATAGAAACTAAATAGAAATAATATATGAAGGTACGTAAAATATAATATACTTCAGAGCAATGCTCGCCAACTTACTACCCGAGCTGCATCATCGCGTTCTTCTTCGTAACCTCACGTCCGACGTGACTTATACGCCTTCATTAACTTCACATCTTTATCACGCACGTTCATAAACCTTAAGAGAAAGGAATCACTTAGTTATAACCACGACCAAGGGCTCCCTTCGGTATATTAAACACTTAACAGGTTACTCGGCGAAGGTGATAAGTTGTCATCAACAAAACAGACCGGCGGCCATAACTGACGACGCTCGGAGCGCCACCGTCAAGCTTACGGATCTTTGCGGAATTAATTTGAACGACTGTTTCACCAGATAGCTATGAATTCTTTTTAACTCCTTATTTAAACGTATCCTGTTCGGTGGGAGAGTCTGGATTATGGGTAAAAAATGTTCTCAAGAATGTCAGTCCCTTACGGAGTTAATCCCTTGCAGGCCTGAAACCCGTCTTTTTATTTTATTTCTTTCTTAACCGTTCCAGGATCGATCCTTTCGGCAGTACCACTCCAGACACTTTTAAACAGCCTTGAAATTTTTATACAAATTTAATTTAATATACATATCTGTCGTATAAACGTTATGAAAAACGAATAGCTCGTGGCAACTCCACTAAGTACCTATATATCTGTATATGTGTCGTACAGTGTATTATAAAAAAATAAGAGCCAACATTTGTTATAGGTTATGAGTTGGTGGCTAAGGGACCTCAAAGTTACCATAGTCGCCCCCACAACGCACCGAGTCTATCACGTGACATATTTCTTATCAACAATGTCTATACCTCCAGTTCGTAGCTGCCTGTCATCGAAGCTAAATATGCCTCGACGTATTTATCTGTTATCTCGCTGCCGCCCCTATTTACGGGCCCTAAACAGGCCTGTTTCTACTAATTGGACGTGCACGTAATCCAGTTAATGGCTGCAGCAGCGAGATACGTTACGAATCTAATAATTCAAAATTCAATTCGACCTTTGACATTCATCGAAGTAATGAAATACGAAAGACGATCGAAAGAATGACATTAATTAAAAATACGTTTAATGAGATTGATGACGCAATGATCGTAATTCCCCAGAACTTTAAAGACAACTCGGCACAACAGCGAATCTCCTAACTCTGTATTAGCCACGATAGCAACTCATCCGCCACGAAGACGAAATACCATAATTAACAGATAATTAGTCCCGATTGGTGGGTTTGCCCTGATCTCCCATAAATGACCTTGAGGTACTAAACAAGGGCGAAACTTGAATCCCCACCTATGGATTCCACCGTTTTCCTCGTGGGTACCCCCTGGCTCCAGGCAACTGCCGTAGGATAATAATCACGCCGGAGCACTGTTTGTTTTAACATTGGCTGCCCTGTAATTAAAGAAGCATAATTATATGTGATTACTTTAGCTATATGAATGAACGAGGAGCCGGACGGGGCTCTATGTACTACGTACAGTCCAGGATAATTTCACATTGATGAATGCGAACGCTACCAACCTGCAAAACCCCTCGAAGGCACTAACCGCCCTTTCCGGTTTTAGGGGTTGCCAGCCAAGACACCCTCTGGGTTCTGACTAGACCTGGTACCACGATTCGCTAGGTTAGATATAATTTTTGTTTTGTTCTTCGAGCAACTAGAGAAACCAGCGGACGGATCTTATAGATTACATGGACTATTTCAATAATGGCCACGTAAATCGTTCTCGGTAGGCGCAGGAAACAAGAATCGGCCGCTTACGAACGTAAATGCCGCATATTAAGGAGAACATATCAAAGTACGTGCTGTTCTTTTTTTACTTCTGTATACATTATAAATGGCTGATGACTTCCATTCGGATATACATAGAAAGTACTATATAGGTATATTGATAGAGGTTCTTCATACGCGTGCATCGACTTTGGGCATATTGGGTAATGACGGACAGCTTTTGAAAGTTCTGACTCTCGTGTGAACGCCCCTTTTTTTTTGAATGGACAACCCCTCAGTGGCTCTCAAGTCGCCCAATGCACACGTGCATTTTGGGTCACGAGGTTAAAGCTTCGAGCGACCATCGATTTAGCGAAGTTCCTATTTAGTGTTTTCGAATTTTAGATTTTTTAAATTCAAATTAACTTTCACTATAGCACGTTATACTACGTGGACATAAATATTTTCCAGAAATAATTAATCCATACGATAATTTCATCTTACCCGTAATAATTACTCCTGAAAGGCATCCGGTATTCGAGGCACAGTACACTATATATATACATACGTTCCATGGATTAAATCTTATCGCGTATAATTATGGCATTTTAATTAATTTTAATTGCGAAAGATTCAAGCGGGATATACAACGATTAATAATATTCTCGAGCATCGAGAGAACACAGAGAGCTACCAAACGAGAGTGAAGAGTTTAGAAAAAATTTATGCAATTTTCCATATCGTAATTTTGAATTTTATTTTACGAAATGAGGTTATTTAATAAATTTGTTTTTTTTTTTTTCACTAACAACGTCGAATCGTAAGCTCACGAAGTTTCCTCGTAATTTATACCGATGACCCTTTTCACTATTCTACAACGTGTAACACTGACTCTCTATAAGAAGTTATTGTTATATTTTCTAAAGGCGAACCTCAACGTAGTGCTATTTAAGCATTCGACTCTTTAACCGGAACAAATCTCTCACGAAATGGAAGAACTCCACTTGGTTCCACGTATACGAACTGCGCGAGGAATGCATGACAAAATGCTTGCATTCCACATTGAAACACTTGACTATGCGTTGAGTATTACGATGACTGTTGCGGTATGCATTGCCGCTATCTTAACTTCGTTTTCACATTGTTTCCATAACAATAGCAAGTACAAAAGTCTTTGCCGGTATACCGTAACAGGGATGAATCCCTTTTCTATTGTGACGAATGTCAGTTTGATCATCGAAATAGTTTTTGCCTGACTCTCGGAGATTTTCGAATGAAACGTCATCGGGAGAATTTCGTCGGACGTGACTTTAACGTCCGATCGATACAGGGTGGCACAAAAAAATTTTTTTTAATATTTTCCATAAAAAAAAATTTTTCAAGGCAACTTATTGACGTCATGAGTGATTCGGCGCTTTTTCCAAGACTTCGAAGCACGGTGCTTTTATCGACTTAATTTCGTTTTGAATTAACGCGCGCAATTGACTGCTGCTGGATGATGGTACTTCCCACGCGACACCCACGTGTCCATCCACACGTGTTACAAGCGCGCACCTTTCAGCGTCGTAAAACGAATTGGCTCGCAGCAGCTATTTAAATCATCTCAAGCCCAATTTACACCTTGTATATAAGGTGTGTATGGATATATATGTACACGCAGTATATCTATACCAGTTATTGCCAGATCGTAATATTTAAGTATCTTGACACACATGATTTGTTTTATTTCAATATCTCAAGTACCATAACATACGTGCCATATGTGTAGATATTCTTTAAATACGTAAACTATTAAATTTTCCTATGTCAATTCATTGGTTCGTTAAGCATTTGTTTGTATTTGAATTTCAAATATTATTGAATGCTATAATTACTTTCTTTTTTTTATTTACTTAATAATCTGCCAAAAATAGGCGATAAGTAAATTAATGATACAAATTTTTCCGGCAATTATTCCAATTATTTAGTTTATCTTCCGTGACGTTGCTCGTGAAGCACAGAGCACCCAACCAAGAAATACGATTCCGTAGCGACGATCAGATAATCCAAACTTCAAGCTAATCGCGACGAGTCAAAAGTTCGTGTTTCTTGCTGGTCGCGCGTCAGAGACTGAAAAGTGTCAAGACAGAAGAATCCAAAAGTCCAAGAATTAATTCCTTTTTCAATGTCCCGTCGTCCAAAGGGAAACGTACTTGGCCCCAAGAATGACTGCGATACGTCCTGCAAAGTCCCGCAACGGGACATACCGATGGGAAGATTGCCAGGAAAATGAAAGAAACGGCTTTTAGTTTTTTGGCCGTTAATTTTGGTTTCGCGGTTTAAAAATAAACATCTTAGATCTCTCGCCTACCGGATATCCTGTCCATCCAATTCCTGCGTATCTCGCGCAGCTAACCCGCGCTTGTCTACCAGAGTATTAGAGCCCAAACCGACCCGAAGTCATAAATGAAAATTGGCGTAGCCACGGAAGCCGCGCAATTCCTGTAACAAAAGCAACTTTACCTCTACCTACATTATCTTAGGTCAAGTTGGTATCCCAGCGCTCGGCACTGGCCTCGGGCTATTTTCGCATTTTCAACGTAGATACCGAAATAAAAATACAGAGACCCACAAGCCCCAAGTCGGACTCTATCATTAGTGCCCGAGATCTTTCTATTAAGACCGACTCGGCTGACAGTGGCTTCGGGTAGTTGTCCGTTATTATACGTAGGTCCCGTCTTTGCGAAATCGTTCGGCTTTGCGAATCCCGTGCCAATTTCGACAAACGAATCGGTTAAATTGTCGGTTGGGTTCGGCTCTGGCATTTACATCGAAATAACGTTTCAGCGACTGATGCATTTCGTTCCCATCGCGGAACAAAGGGACGTCGAACTATTCCAGCATCAACGTCCTCGTCCGTCCAGTGTATCTTTCCGGGTTTACAGATTGACGGAACCTTTGATAACACTCTCGAGGATACTCGATACCAACGCGTCTATACGTCATCATTCAGCCAGATGGCAGACAAGCTGACTGCTGCTCGGATCCTTTGTGCTCCTTTGGAAAAAAAAAGTTACACGATCTAGGTGCACCGACGTGAAAATTTGATCGGGGTAGAAAATTCGTTTGATATTTTCGAACTCTTTACGAAATTTTAATTCAATGATAAACGGAAGCGATAACCAATTCGTGCCTGATGACTATCGTATGGACGCGTTAAACTTTATACGAAGGAATTTTTTCTTCGACTATTCTGACACGATAATCGTACGTTTCTGACGTTGGTACCAACCGCACATAGAAACCAGTCCGCAACCAGCCGGAAGCTGTTCAGTGATAACTCTGCACTCTGCGCTGAGGTATACTCAAAGGTACGTAATAACTATACAGTGCTTGAGAGTTGCTCCTTGTGAAACAGACTGCAATGATTTTTCTTCTCGTTCGGTAAACACCGGTACTCGTGGAACACAATGAAACGGCTTTGTACTGCAGTTATACTCGAAGCATTTTCATCTGCGAGTGAAATCTGTATCTGCGGAGATTTAAACGGTTTTCGGAGAAAGGGGAGAATTCCTGGTTAATAATTTATCACGAACAGCTCTTGCGATTACGTTCTTGCCGGTGGTCGGTAATAGAATTCTTGGGTGTTTGAAAGTTTTGTAAAAAAAAAGTCAAAATTTCGATGGCTATTTTTTTTTCAAAAAAAAAAAGTTTACCG